CGTGCTCTCTCTCACTCATTCTCTCTCAAATAGATAAATAAAATCTTAAAAAAAAAAGTAATGGAAAATATGAAGGAGGAGTTAAGAAATGCGAAATAAAATGAGAAGGCCCAATAGGGATACTAGAAATTCCAGAAGAAGAGAACAGAGAGAAAAAGGAGAGTAGCAATATATAAAGATTCAAAGGTGGCAAATTGACCAGTATTGAATGAAAAAAAAAAAATTCCCAATAAGAAGGAACACAACTGGATTTACAGCAGAATAAATGAAAATTTACACCTAAAAACATTATTGATTCTGCAGAACATCAAAGATAAAAAATCTTAAAAGCTACCAGCATAATGACAATCAGGCAGCAGGCTTCTCATTAGGAGTGATAGGAACCAGAAGAGAAATAATTACAACCTCAGAATGCTAAAGGAAATAACTGTCAACTTAGAAAACTATACCCCAGGTAATTATCATTCAACACAGAGAGGGTGAAATAAAGACAATTTCAGATAAAAATGAAAGAGGTTACTACTCATAGATCCTTGCTAGAAGAATTTCTAAAAAACTTCAGTGAGAAGGAAATTGAACCCAAAAGGAAGAATTAGGCTAACAGAAACCATTGTGAGCAAAGAAATTGGTAAATATGTAGGTAAATCTTAACAACAATAATTCATATTAATAACTTTTTGAAAGAGTATAAAAATATGGTGGAACTAAAATGCTAATCAATAAATTACATGAAAAATGGAAGAGATTGATTTAACATTCTAAGATCCTTCTGTTGTTTAACAAGAGAAGAGAAATACACATTAACATTAGTCTTTAAGTAACATATGCATGTTTTAAAAATTTAGAATAACTCTATTTGTCTGGAAATAGAATGCTTAACTTCCAAACCAGTAAAAAAGAAAATTAAAAAAAAAAACAGAATAAAGAAAACTCATCAATATTATAGAAGGCATAGAAGAGGGAACTCAAAAAAAAAATCAAAACAGAAAACACAGAGATGGTAGAAGTCCAAATGCATTAATCGTAATAAAGGTAGACATATCAAATTTTCCCATTAAAAGAGACTTTCAATTTGGGTTTTTAAAAAATCCAGGCATAGGATGTTCACAAAAGACTTGCCTAAAATATAAGGTCACAGAAAAAGATTGAAAATGAAGATATAAAACAAGATGTGCTAGGCAAATATTAACCAGAAGGAATGTGGGCTAGCAACATTGATATAAAATAAGAGTGTAAGAGCAAAAGCACTAATAAGGATAAAGTGGGATATTACTTATTGATAAAAGGAAAAATCCAACAAGGAGATTTGCTTATCAGCTGGCTGGGGCAGTCCTGCCTGACCTGTCCAAGTGGGTCCAGCCAAGAGAGGCTCCTGGTCGTGAGGAGTGGAGGAGCAGCTCCCTGGTCTGGCTGCATTGCTTTGTCTTGCACCTGCCTGGGCTGGGGACGGTAGAACAACACAGGGCACTGCTAGGAAAAGATGTTTTTCTCAGGTACAGCTTATAATTGTTGCATAATTTAGGTACTTGTTTATTATAAACTTTTAGTATTTGGATATTGTAAGTTTCGGGGGTGAGAAGAAGCTGTTAACCAGAATTCCCCAAAACCAGGCAGGGGTAACAACACCAGGCTGGAAAAGAGCTAAGTCCTCCACAAGATTCAAAAATACCAAATACCACTGATATACCCTTGGGATTTCTCTCCAACTCATTCTGTAAGTGGGAGGGACCCAGGGGGATCTAGGATTTGAGGCCAAAGTGGAGGGTTTAGTATACATCCTTTAGTGGATCAGATGACAGGAAGCCTGAGGTGAGGGAGGGGCAGTTATAAAGAGCATGATTGAGACAATTGAAGGGTTTTGCTTATGAACTCATAAAAGAGGCAAAATTTAAAAGTACCTGAAAGTGATCGTCACACTGTTCAGTACAGACAGATATCCCTGGTCTTAAAGATAACTGCGGAAGTCTTTTGGGATGAAGTGTCATTCAGGTCAGCCTCTAACACACAAGGGTTTCAGAAAGAGAAAGGGAGAGATGGTTTAACCCAGTGTGGACACAGTTACCAATTGCTCTTCTGGGTCAGAGTATATGAGCATTCATTGCAACAGTGAACTTGGCTGGACAGTTTAAAGTACCTCAAAATAAAAAGCTGGAAGAAAAGAAACAGTTTCAAAACAAATACAGAGGCACCTAATGAAATAATGAATCTAGTCAATGATAGTAAACGGCTGTTAAAACCATTAAGTGAAAAGCTGATGGAGGGAAAAAAGCTGAAGGAGAACTTTGTAATGGATAGATCCAGTTGACAGCAACCGAACCTGCTGATTAATCTTAATATTATAAAAAGAAAAGCAATGAGAAATTACGTGGTCCTAATGTGATGCAATGGGAATTTCATGCCACACCTGAAATATTCTTGCCAAAAAATCAAATCTAAAGCCAAGTGATTCTGGAATCTACCAATTTCAAAGAACAGAGAAACATGTTAAATGATACCACAGGGGTGCCCTCAGCATAATCCTGGAATGAGGAGGGCAATTCTGTACGACAAATGGCCCACAATTTCTTCAATAAATTGCAAGAAAGGGGAAGAAAGTGTAACCTATGGAATAAAAGAAGACTAAAAACCACATTGACCACATCCAGTGTGTGGGCCTGGATTAGAAACCAATTCAGGGAAATTTGAATACGGAATTATTCCTTATTCAATTATTCCTTACTCTGATGAGAGGAAGGAATTATAGCTCATTTTTTATTTAAGTGAGACGATGCTATTGGGGGTAATGTTAAATGAGCCCTTAGCTTTTAGAAATGCATATTAAAATATTTGCGGGTGAGCTGATTTGATGTCTGTGTCCCAAAAGTCCTGGCGGATGGAAGAAATAGGATCAGCTCTATGTTGACAGTTGTTGAAACCAGCTAATAGGTATATGGATTTAAAAATATATATATTTGAAACTCTTTCAGAATAAACTCTTGACAAATAAGTAAACCCAAGCCATTCCAGTATTTTCCCAATATATTGTCCCAAAGAAGGCTCTTCAGTGTTAGAAAGAACAGCTTTTCCCTCACAAGTAAAACACAGGTGAGGTCTGAGAGAGAATTCCAAGTCGGTGGTAAAACCCAGGCCCTTCATGGGGGTCCACATCCTCTTTCGAGTGGAGTGCCACTCACTTGGGGTTAGGGATTCTGTCCTTTGTGTTTCAAATCAAACTGTTCCCTGTTGGGTGGAAGCAAAAGATTACATCTGGGCTGCTGCCTGGTCCAACCTGGGCTAAGGAATGGGGTTTGCAAAGGCTGGTGGTTTGGAATCAGGGTAGAGGGAGGAGGTATAATTAGATGTGTCCTTTTTGTGAGGCCTGGATGCACTGGAGGTCTGAGATCAGAGATTAGATGGGGTTGGCGGGATGGGTGTGTCACTAAGGTGGGCAGGCTCTGCGGAGACACAAGACACTCACAAGACGCTTCAAGAGCTCGCCTTCCTGGCCCGACCTTCCTGGCCTTCATGCCTTTATCGTGGGTGCCAGTTCTCTGGGACACAGACAGAGGTCCCGCCCATCTCTCCTCACTGGCCCTCGCGCAGCCCCATCTGGAGGCCCATCTCCTTTCCACTCCGGTCCCCTTTTTTCTCTGTCCAGTTCTCTGACCCATTTACATTCTCTCCCTCCTCGAGCTCCCTCCTTGTCTCCATTCGCCATTCCCTGTCCTCCGCCCTACCAGACACCCCAGTTCAGGGTCCAGGAGAAGGACAGCTTTTATGTGGCTTGTAAAATTCTATTATATCTGTATTCAAAACCTAGCAGCTGAGAAACACTGGTAATAAGCGTGTTATTAAGCGTGTAAATACGCTTCCACTCCAAGGCCTCCAAGGTGCAGGGGACAGTTTCCCAACCTGGGCATCTCCCCTGCTTGTAAGTCTCTCCCCACCTGGCCTCCATCCCAGACTTAGACCTTGTGCCCAGGCCCAGGCCTCCTCCAGTCTCCAACCTCCACCGTCCCACACAACCCAGACTCTTGGAGAAAGGGGGCGGGGGAGAGGGCCGAAGAAAAAAAACATTAGGAAAAAAACTCCCACCCAGAGAGCATTCTTTCTGCAGCACTCAGGAAAAAGGATGTCTCACAGGGGACGGGAAGGCGAAATTTTTTCACATCCAAATGGATTGCAATTTCCCTCCATTTAGCACCTGAAGGTAATTAGCTCGAAGAGACTGCCGAGTGCGAAACACGTTCACGGAACATTAACTCTCACACATTCTCCAGTTGCAGGGAATTAATAGGAAAGATTAAAGTTTAAAGAGAGCAAAATGCCATTACCTCGCCAGCCACCTCTCTCCGCGGCAGTATCCAGCCCCCGAAAACCTTCAGCCAGTGCTTGGGCCGGGGTTCAGGTCTCAGCCGCCAGCCTGCCTGACTGGGGCATCTGGGTGTGTCCCATGAAGAGGGCTAGCATGTGCTGATGGGCACGCACATGTGCAAAAAAGGGCAGTTCTGACCCTTCATGAGGCCCGTGCAACCCCCTTCCCATCACCAAGAAGTCTGGAGTGGACAGGGCAGGTGTGTTCTCATAGGCGGACTCCTGGCATTGGTGTGTACGGTGGCCCCAGGTGGGGGCGATGTTAGGAAGGGTTAGTAGCGTGGGTGTGCCCTGTGATTTTGGTGCAGGGGGTGAGATCCGGCAGCTTGGCTGGCAAGAGAGAAATGGAGTGTGTCACCCCCACCTTGGGTGTGTACAGGGGCCCTGGGTGCGGTGATGGAGAGTTGCTTCCACTCTTGTGGGGCGGGCAGGAGCCACAAACATAGCCACAAACACACACATACGGGCTCCCCCTGCCCCACACAGACGGCCTCTGTCACTCTGCTTTTTTCAAAGTTTATGTAGGCTTCAAATTTGAAGCGTTTCTGTGTTGCTTCAGTATTTTAGGGAAAGATGAAAGACAGAGAGAGGGAGACAGAGAGTGGGGGAGAGAGAGAGAGAGAGAGTGAGGGAGAGAGAGGGGCAGAGGCAGGCAGGAGAGAGAGAGCGCGAGATGAAATTGAGACATGGAAGAATTTATTGCCCAGAAAATTCCATTCTGCTATCTGATTCAAAAAGTCCAGTCCCCCCAGCTTCGGAAAATCTATTTTCCACATTTTAATACCCTGCAGAACAGTCCTCATAACTCATCCGAGTGTGTTAAGCACAGTTTTATTAGATCTGAAACAAATTTTGGTGGGGAGATACTATAGGTCATTAACCATGGAGTAATTTTATCCTTGTTTCCCTAATGATGCCATAATGGCGAGCGAATTTCTTAACTAAAGACCAAAGAACATTTTGAAGGTCAGTTTCATCTGTGAGCTCCTTCAAGCGCTTCTCAGAGAAGATTGGAAAACTCGCCGATTTTTTGAAGAGTCATTAATAATGTGAAAGCTGAAAGCACCCTCCATTTGCGTTCCTGCTTTTTACCTTTTAATTTTATATCGTCCCCGCTCAGAGCCCCGCTCCCACTCCCTCACCCTCCTCTGGACCTCCCGCCTGCCTACCCACCCCACGCAAGGAACAAGGCTGCCCGGGACTACCAGGTACCAGGCTAGCTGTGAGGGGCACACGTGGGGCGGCAGTAGGGGAGGCAAAAAGAGCCAGAGAAGCCAGGACCCCGCCGAGATGGGGCGCCTCAGCTGTAATCCCAGCATAGGGGGCACTGTGTGAGGGGATTGTTATAGGCATGGCACACACGTGTGTGTGTGCATGTGTGCAAATGTGCAGTATAGGGGACTGGGGTCTCTGGATTGGGTGCTGGCCATGCACACACATGTTAGGGATGGATGGGGACCTACTGGTCTCTCTAGTTGAGTGCCCCCTGTTGGAAGCAGGCAGGGAAAGGGAACTGAAAACCAGCCCTGGGTCTGGTGACCTGGGCAGTGGGGCAGTGGGGGGACTTGTGGTGTCTCCCAAGAGAGACGGACACTACATGGAGGGCATGAAACAATTTACAGCAGGTTGTAAGCCCTGATTACATGTGTGTGCCAACGAGCATGTATGTCCTGGGTGTGGGGAGGTCATCAAGGCAAGAACCCCGAGGACCTACCCCACTGACAAATATTTAGACACTAGAGACAGTGGCCATTGTCTGCTCATCCCTCACTCCTTAGACCACACACCCCTTTCTCCCCAGGCCTGGAGCCCCTCATTTGCCCACTTTACTTGCCTCCTGATCTCCAATCCCCGGTTCCTCAGACCTCCTGCCCCCCACCAGTCCTATCCCTCCCCCTGAACCCTCATCCCCCTACCTCTTCACCCATCTGCTGGCAGGCAGTGCAGGGTGCCCAGCCAGGAGCTGGGGTGGGACAGCATTTCTCTGTGTGTGCAGGTTTGGGGAGGAGGGGGCGGTGTGGTGACACTCCATGCTCCCAGATGTGGTGGCAGCGATAATTCCAATTTTATGCCTTTGTTATGGCTTTAATCACTTTCTTTATGCGTTTTGTTCCAGCGATCAGGGAGAGACACCTGATAGGCAAAGAGGATACCAGGGGAACCATTTTTATTTGGAATGTGGTGAGAAGTCTAATTAGAATCTGAATTCTGCTGAGCCTTGAAATGGCCAGTACTTTATCCTGATCGCCTTAGATATTGTTTCGAGTCAATCATCTGTCATGGTGCAGCAGGAGAGCCTCTCCCTTCACACTGCACCCCTCCCGCCACAGGGCCAGCCAGGGCACACGGCGGGAGGGGGGAGGCTTCTGCCCTTGTAGGGGTATGTGCCTCCTTCTTAGGGGGAGGCCTGTTTGATGTGGCTAACCCTCCCCTGGTGAAGGCTGTCTTTGCTGGACGCTGAGTTTGAGCTCATGGGGGGCAGAAGGGGAAGAGGGGCTGCAGGAAGAGGGTGCTGAGGGGCTTGTATTAGAATTAGGAGATATTGGGGTGAGGCCAAGCTAGTCTGGGGTGCCTCCTAAGTGTTCCCAGTGCAGTGACCACCCCACCTCCTCTCTATCAATGGCCCACAGGGACTCTCATCTCTTTACTGTCCCCAGACATATTGTCTCTCTGCCACCTGCTCACTGTTCCTCAAACTCACCACTTTCATTGCCAACCCCTCCCTGACCCAACGTTTGCTACGCGTTCAGCTCCTTTTCTTTGACTTTCCTCACTCTAGTCCCACCACTGGAATACTGCTCCGGTTTGTTCTGCCATCTGTCAAGTCCCCGGACTGGTTCTGCCTCCTCCAGAAAGCCTTCCCTGACTACCTGAACCCATACAGGTGAGCGCCTTGAGAGGTGGACAATTACAGCCTGGGCCCTCATCCTGTGATGGCTATGCTAACTGCAGACACTCCCCTGACCAGAGCCTTCATCCGTTTATCTTTCTCCTGCCTTTAAATGGTTTCTGATTGTCCTTTCTTTTTGTAAACTGTTTTGATCCCTGCGTGTGTGTGTGTGTGTGTGTGTGTGCGCACACGCGTCCTAAATCTGCTCAAAGCCCTTTTGACCATTGCACGGTGTGAAGTAGAAATAAATATTACTCTTAACGACAATTTCACCTCCCCAATCACATATTGAGTCCCCCAAATCCAACCATTTCTTCCTGTCTCCTGCCTTGTCTCACTAACTATGAGCACACAGGACCAGGCACAGAGTGGGGTTCTGCGGCATCACCTCCAAAAGTCACAGATTCACTGAGACTTTATGCTTCCTGCTTCCCCTCACACCCCACCCCCATACATACCTACTGTGTGGCAGATGTGGGCATTATTGGGGGGAGGAGTAGGAGCCAAAGGAAGTGTACCCTTTCTGGCAGGGACAAGTGGCATGTGCTCTATGAATAATGTCTCCTTGGGAGATGGTCTGGATGACCCCTTGGAGGTGCAGGGATCCACATATGGTCAGTGTGGGTCCTTTTTAGATGATTGGGGCACTCAGTGGCCCTAGAGCCAATTAGTGTGCCCCATAAAGCAGAATGTCCTCATCGATGTCAGTATCACCGAGCCTCCTGAATGGTCACTGCCCTCTCGAGATTATCTATGTAGCAGGGGTACCTTATATATGGTCCAAAGGGCAGTGTGACCAGATGCCACTATAGAAAAATACAGACTCAGAGGGTCCCCAGAACCCTTCTCAACCTGCTCACCTCCCCCTCCCTATTTGGACCCATTCTCCAATGCAGTTCTGAGTCATTTTGTTCCAGGATGCTCGCTTTCCCTGCGTGCACCCCAATTCCTCCTGGTTCCTGAGCTCTGGGTGAGAAGTGAGGATGGCACTAACCATAGTCTAGAAAATCATGGGGCTTCTGGCCAGGAGCCAGGGGTGGTTCTCTGGAGTGCTCCCTCCCAGCAGCCCCTGTCCAGAAGGCTGGCGGTATTGATACCACACTGATGGATGGAGAGTGAAGAGGTATAGGGAGATGGAGAGGGCATCTGTAATTGGGAGTCCTCATTTATGGGGGAGGGCAGGACAGTGGCTGGGAGGGACTTAGGAGCTAGCTTCCTAGTGGGAAATTGCAATCTGCCATTAACATTTAGGTACAAGTTACTATATCAGAAGGGGTGTGTGTGTGTGTGTGTGTGTGATGAGTGTCCGTAGGTGAGGGCCTCAGTCCCCCTTAGGAAAGAAGCAGGACCCTGGCATACGTGGTCTGCCCATATGCAAGGGTTGGAGTTTCAGGGTGGCTTATTCTCCAAGTGTTGAATCCCCATCTACACAGACGGTGGGGAGATGGAGCTCCCAGCCCAGGGAGCACATGTGCTGGGTGGGGGTGGCAGGTGGGAGGACAGAGATGCCAAAGGTGCCAAAGGCCTGGTTTCTTCCCATCTCAGACACTCAAGACACTGTCCTTTCTACATCCAGTGGCTGCAGTGGGGGGAGATGAAAAGGAGGAGAAACTGTTGGATAAAAAGAAATTCAAAAAAAAAAAGTAAGTGAAATATTCAAACTGGAAAGTGATATTATAGAAACTGCAGCCCACGGCTCAGTGCATTCAAATTTATTCAAACTCGGTGCCTGACAGTGATGGATGCAGCAGCTTTTCCCACAATATGGAGAAGGCGCGGGGGCATTTAGGACTGCGGGTCCCCTCCGGGAGGGTGGGGGCCCGCACCACCTCCCACGCCTTGCTCCTCTTCAATGGGAAACGAGGTTCTGGGTCCTATCCGTTCTACTTCCTAAACCCCACAGTTCTGGGGATGCTGGGGGACCTGGGCGTCACCAGCCCAGGGGCAGGAGCAGGGCCCAAGACAGAGGGAGTCAGCTGCGGACCAGGGTGATCTCCAGTGCCGGGGAAGAGGATGGTCAAACCTGTCCAGGGGATGACAAGACAAGGGTGCCACCTACCTCAGAAAGAGGAGCCCGGCCGGGTGGTTTGTAGCCAAATCATCAGCATGAACCTAATAGCCCCTGAGTGTGCTGAGATTTGAGGGTCTCAGGAATCCCAAGGCAGAGAACAATTGTTCTCATCGGCTTCTGCTTCCCCTGCATTGATTCCCACTTCTGTTTGCTCCATCCGGAAGAGGGGTAAGAGGGCCTCCGGGGAAACCTCAAATCTGGGGCCTTGGTTTGAGCTGTGGGCCGGTGAGGGAAACTCCCACATCTCTTGGCTGCCTTTCCCACTGCACCCCCCCACCCCACACCCACAGTGTCTCTAACCCTCCTTCTCTGTCTCTTTTGTCCCCTACGCTCTCCCCTTAATGTAGCTACAGCACAAAGCTCCAACTCCAGCTCTCCCCTGTTCTCTCCAGTCTCTCAGGAGTCCTCTACCACTCGGAAACTTTCAGCCGTCACCTCCCTGCAGGCAATGGAAGCACTGATCTCTAATTCCAAGCTTCTCTTGAGATCCAAGCCCACAACCGCAGCAGCGCAAGCCTGACACTTGGACAAGCAGACTCTCGTGTCTCTCCTGAAGCCGGCAACAACCTGTGAGTCCCTGCTTTGCCGACTGCCATGTCAACCTCGCAAGGTCTCAACCTCGCAGAGACCTTGGAGCCTCCAGCCCTTCCCCAGTCCTCATCTTTACCTTCAGTTAGTGTACCAGTTCACAGACGTTTCCCAATTTCTTTGGCACCCATCTTTGCCTCACCATCACCACTGTCCCCGGGAAGGCCCTTATCACAGCTCCCCCAGGCCTCTCCAATTCACCCAACAAGCCCCACACCATGCCAGTCACCAGGTGCGGCATCTGCCTCCCTGCACAGCTCTCTTAAGTTCCACGGCTCTGGTTGTTCTACTCACGGCTGCCAGATTCATTTTCCTAAAGCACAGCTCTAATCATGTCGCTCCCCTGCTCAAAAATCCTCAATGGCTCCCCACTGCCTACTAAATAAAGTACAAACTCCTGACTCTGATATTCATGGCCCATTGTGATCTGGCCCCTTCCTACCCCTCTCGCCAAGACTTCATGCCCATACTTACCAGCCAGATTGGCCTCTGGGTGCTTCCCTGCACACTCCCCACCAAGCAACTCCCCACCTCTGTGCCCTGGTTCATGCTCTTCTTCTGTCTGCGATGCTGTCCTTCTGAAATGGCAGCATTGCCCAACACCCGGCTCATCTCTGCCCATCAATGCCTTAATCTTCTGTAAGACCCGATCCAAGTAAAGTCGTCTTCTGAATGCTTCCTGTAAAATGCTTAGCAAGGTGCCTGCTAGATTCTGTTCTTCTTCTTATTATTAACATTATTATTCACCACCAGCAGCAGTGATTTCTCTTCCCTGGGAAACTTCCAGTCCCCTCTACAGCTTTCCCGGCTCTTGGCATAATTTTCTTGATACTGTCATTTCTAGTATGTTTGCCCTACAGCTGTCCTGACCTATAAACCTCTTGAGAGCCAGGATTTAGTCATGTTCATTCGAGTCGTCCTCAGCCCATAGCCCAGGAGACTCTCTCTTTACCACTTGTTGAATAAATGAATGAACGAGTGAATGAATGAACCAATACGGAAGAAGCAGCTTGGGCATGGCTATGTGACACAGATCTGGCTCCTCTGAGCCTCCGGTTCTGGGCAGTGACCACCTAAGAATTCCCTGCCATTACTCCCGGCCCTCCTGACATGTGTCCCGGTGAGCTGGGACATGTGTGTGCAGGTTGCATGACAGGTGTGTCATCCCTCCAAAGCGAGAGGGGAGTGTGGCAGAGTTCAGCCTCCCCAACTCATCAATCAAAGGGCACTTAACTGACAGAATGCTCCTTAAAGCTGGCTCCAGGCTCCACTGGGGTTGGGGGGCCAGGATGAGTGGGGGATGAGGCCTGCCCTCTGGGGAGTCACAGTCTAGTTGCTCCTTCACTCCTTTAACTCAGACCACAGGAAGTCAAAGGGCTCCCCTTGGGACTGCTGACTGTGGACAGGGATGTCATGCTGATGGGTGGGGTAAGGCCTGTCCTGCAAAGCTGAGCTGAAATGCTACTTAATCCAGAAGTGGTTCTTTTACCCTCTTGGTTTAGATCTTAGCGCCCTGTCTGGACTGGAGCTCCCCTGGGAGGTCAGTTGCCTTCTGCAGAATTCCTCACTGAAGAGCTGAGAACCACACAGCTTAAAGCTGCTGAATGGTTGAGTGGACGGATGCCGGGAATAGTTGACAAAATAAACGAGTAAATGAGCAACTAACGAAACACATGGGTGAACAAAGTGCTGGGCAGATTGGCACAGAGTCAGCCCGCGCGGAGCATCTCCTTTGTACCAGGCACTGTGCTCAATCCTTCACCGGCACTCATTGATTTACTCCTCGCTCAGCCCTTGGAGTACGAGCTGTTATGATCCCACCAGGGAGAGGCCCCTGCAGCTCCGGGAAGTGAAGTCACTTGTGTGAGAGCCTCCAGCCCCGCTGGGAGGAACCCTGGGTCCCTGCCCTAAACTCTGGGGGCGGGGGGGGGGGGGCGCACCTGCTCCCTCCGGAGACCACCAGCGCTTGGGGACTTGCGAGGGGGGAGGTTCACACGTGGGGAGTACTGTAAGGTCTCTGTCCCTGCGCACGGATGGGAGCCCCCTGGGCTCTTGGTTTTCACTCCTTTTCTTTCGGTCCCCTTGGGGATTAGGCGAAGTTCAGAAGAGACGCAGCCGAGGTGCTCTGTTTCCCAAAAGGCGTCTTCCCAGCCCCCCTCACCCCACGTCCACTTCAGGAGGGAGTGACGGCCGCTGTTGAGCGGTCCCGGGCCGGCCGGGGCAGGGGTCGGCGGGGCGCCCCGTCCCGCCGGCCCCCGCCCTCGCGGCGGGTCCCTCCCCTCCCGGATCCAAACAAGCGCGCTAAACTCCGGGAGATTTACAGCGGGCGGCTGGGCGGCGCGGGCCCCCGGCCGCCGGTGAGATATCTCCAAACAGCGCACTAACCACTTTCCATTTTATACCTCACCAGCTTTATAGCATCTTAAGGATTTCTGTGCACGGCTGGCTTCCCGCCCAGGGAAAAAACCCAGCCTTGTAAATAAATACTAAATATATATGAACAGAGACGACAGCGAGAGCCGCGGAGGAGGGGGAGGGGCGGGGCGCCGCAGGGGGGGGGGCAGGGCCCGGCGAGCGGCGGGGAGATGGGGGCAGGGATATGTTGGGGTGTCCGAGACAAAGGCGACAGGGAGAAAGCAACTGACAGGCGACATGAGGGAAACTGAGACAGCACCAGAGGGAGAGGCAGAGAGAAACCGGAAGACAAGACGGAGGCTGGCTGGAAGTGCTGTGGTGTGTGGTGTGTGTGTGTGGGGTGTGTGTGTGTGTGTGTGTGTGTGTGTGTAGTGTATGTAGGGAGGACTCCTTTAAAGCCTAGGGAGAAAGAGAAGGCTCTTCCAAACCTGCCTCCTTTCCTTCCCCCAATTTCCGAGGGGACTGAGGCCCAGGGATGGGACTACCATCCATGTGTGCGTGTGTGAGAGAGAGATGTGTGTGTGACAGGGGTGTGTCACGATATGCTCCAAGGAAAAGAGTCTGTGTTTGTGTGTGTGAACCCGTGTGAGTGCAGGTGTATGTTTGGGGTGTTTGGCGTGGGTAGGACTGTGCTTGGTGAATACTGGGGTGTTGGCAGGAAGAATGTCTGTGGTGTGGTCAGGGTGTGTGTGTGGGGCCGTTAGGACATATTGGGGGGATGAGGAGGCAGGTGAGTTCTGAGAATGTGTGCGGCTTTGGGGTTGAGTTGAGGGCTGAGTGAGGCATATGTGATCAAATGTATTTGGGTATCGGGGTGGGCGGGGGGCTCGGGGCGGGGAGAGGGATAGTGGGCTCACATAAGCCAGGATGAGCCTTCAGAGGGGCATGTGTTGGATCTGGAAGCAAGTACCCACGTGTGTGCTGGGGCCTGTCAGGGGTGAGTTCTGAGATGCTGCCAGGCGGTTAAACCTCCTCCTCTTCATCCTCCATCTCTGAGTCTTTCTAGAGGCTCTGGGACCTTCTCTGTGATGGCCACTAGAGAGAGGATCTCCTGTGCTGACTGAAGCCCCCCATACTACCACAGCCCCCAGCTCTGACGTGTCTGGACAGGAGCCGGAGTTGAATTGGGGAGCAGGAGGGAACATCTTCTCCCTTCTCAGGGGACCCAGCGATCCCTTTTTGTTCCCCCCCTTGTCTTCGATATTAAGTATTCAAACCTCATTTACATCCTTATTTTTCAATTTGCTGCCACAGTAGTTTAATTTATTCGATATAATTTCTTTTTCTGAGGGGACATTAATCATTGCCCTGTGCTTTTGGGCGCCTGTGGGATCTCTGCGCGTGTATGTGTGCGTGTGTACGCATCTGTGTGTGAGTGTGCATCTGTGTCCGTGTGTGTCTGTGCCTGCGCACGCTCATATCTGCGTGTGAGGTGCAAGTTTGTCTGGCATGTGGGGGCGTGTGTGAGAGAGAGTGTGGCTCTTTGTGAGCGGGTTTTGAGTGTGAGAGAGCCTGGGGTGGGGGAGGAGCTGGGGAGGGTGGTGCGTGTATGCCAAACTGACCCAGTCCCCTTCCCCCGGTTCCTTCCTTAGGATGTCAGCAAGAAGGGGAAGTGGGGCATCCTTACAGTGGGGTCCTTCCAGAACCCCCTGCCAGTTTTTCTTTCTTAAGAGTGTGCCCTGGACAGTTATAGATGGAAATGTTCTAGAATCCCTGGTCTCTCAAGAAAGAGAGCTGAGACAGGTGGAGGAACACACACAGATAGGGAGAGACAGACGGACCAGAGCAAGGCAGGTCACAGGAAGGGAGGAAAAAAAGAGGGGGAAAGAAACATGGAGAATGATGGAAAGAGGCACGGGAGAGAGGAGAAGTGAGCAAGCTAGCGGCGTCTCAGCCCATAAAGTCCCTGGAATGGGAGGAAGGGGCACGAGACTCCCGCATCAGCTCAGGCCCAGTCATGGCTCAGTGCAGAGTGATGGGGGGTGGGGGGTGGGGGGGAGAGCTGGTTGCTCCCAGGAGCTGAGATGAGTGAAGTAGCTTGGGGGAGGCTTGTTTGGAGAGAAGAGGCAAGAGGAAGTGGTAAGGGAGCAGAAGGAAGAGAGAAAACCCCTCCTGGCAATACAACTCAGAGGCAGGAGGCCAAGGAAAATTTTCAGGGATGTTCAAAGGGTAAGAGGGAGGAAGCTCTCTGATGCTAGCTCCCCACCCCACCCTCACTGCATCTGGGCAAATCCATGGCTTCCTGAGACCCTTTTTTGATCCTGAGCTCCAGAAGCCCTCAGTTTTCCTTCTCTGGCACATTTCTTGGAACTGCCAGGAACTGATGGGAAGGACCCTGTGACATCCCACTTAATCTTCGTAACAGCGCCAGCTGAGTTGGTCTCCCCACTTCAGAGAGGAGGAAAGGAGAGGTCAGAGCTGGCCCAAAGTCAGGTGGAGGTCCAGAGCCTGGAAAGAAATCACAACTGCCTGAGGGCACACACTGAGAGTCCCCACTCCCCTCTGCTGCCTCCTAGGGTAGTGGCCGCCCCAGCCCTCCTGTCCTCACCACCACACAGGTACCACACACACACACACACACACACACACACACA